CAAAGAAATATATTGGCGGGGAAGGATTTTACGAACCAGGCAACGTAGAAAGCTGAAACTTTGCAGGTATATTCTCTATGCACATGCGAGCTAAAAATTTTAAACTCAGCTCTCTAGCTCCCCAATCACAGCCTCAAGCAGCTCCTCAATCCAAAAATCGTTAGCAGCTCGGACCTGAACCGCAATTGTATATGTAAATGAACGTGGATTTTTTGAAAAACGACCGCTCGAGCAATACATCCACTTTTTAGTGAACTGAAAATTTGCATTTTTTCAAAAAATTTGCATGTGTCATTTTTTCACAAAGCGAGCATTTACCGAGAAAACGACCAGACTTCATGCAAAAAACCGGTAATCACGCACCTGGATATCCGTGCGGTTCTATAACAAACCACGTTCATCCCAAATGACGCCCTTCCTCCTGCAAAGCACGGCCAATATGAGCCAAAGTGTTAAGCTACAGCGTAGGGATCATTCTTGCTAATAGCGATCTGCGCGTTTAGTGCAAAAATGCATGATCGCATCGGAGAACTTGGTGCGTTCCAGCCTGGGTTTTTTGCATGAAGCCCGGTCGTTATTCTAGTAAATGCTCGCTCTCCGAAAAAATGCAAGATAACTGAAAAGTGGAAATGTTGCTAGATAGGTCGTTCGTCAAAAAATCCAAATATGTAAATGAGTGCATTTAAAAGTATGAAGAAGATGAAGGCCGTTGTTCGCTGCAAAACGCACACTTCTTTGAGTTTGAGGTAAAGTTGAGTATTTCTCATAATCAGCTGCAGGGAATTTCACTTCCAAACGGATTAAAAACCATGCATGGAAGTAGAATATTTCAGCAAAGTTTCAGCCTCGCACCTTATCCCATAAACGAATTACTCACTTCGCTACAAGTATCTTTGAAGTGCCCTAAGTCGTGGCGCAAATGCAAACCGGTACTCATTTTAGGTGCACCATTTCCCATTTGGGCGATAAACATGCAGACAAAATTTCAGCCACTGTTTTCCGGCTAGTTTTCGAGTCAGAGCGGTGCCAAGCGCAAACTTTGACGT